GAGCGATTCTGCTACTCGCCGTCGCCTCTTCAGCGGTTTCCAAACAATTATTAAAAAGACGTAAAAAGAAAAAAAAAATTATAACCAAACAAATTAAAGAAACGATAACAAACACACCCAAAAAAATAAAAACAACAACAACAACAAAAAACGTTAAAAATCAATATCTTAAAAAAAACGCAAACACATTAAAAAAAACGAAGAAAAACGGCTCCTTAATCTCACTCCCATTAAAAAGCCTCGAATCAAGGCCGCTTTCCCGCCCGACCGAAACGGCTCCGAAATCCCCGACAAAACAAACGAAAAGGAACGAGAAGCAATAAACGGGAAGAGAACAAATAAACCGAACAACTAAAGCCAAATAAAAGTTGAAGAGGGCAATGCAGGGGATGCGAGAGGGAGGAGGGAGGCGAGAGGGAGGAGGGAGGCGAGAGGGAGGGAGGTGAGAGAGAGGGAGGCGGGAGGGAAGGAGGCGAGAGGGAACTGAGAGGGAACTGAAAGGGAACTGAGAGGGAACCGAGAGCGAGACGAGAGCGACCCGACAACGAGACAAGAGACAAGAGCGAGGCGAGAGGGAGCCAAGAGCGAGACAAGAGCGACCGGTCAGCGAGGCAAGAGGCGAGAGGCGAGGCGAGAGACGAGAGCGAGTCGGTAGACCTGCATCGTCGTCCTGAAGTGGGTTCTTCTCCTGCCCAGCCTCGCCATGGACAACACGTACCTCCCTTATTCTCTCTTTCCCTCTCTGTTTGTCTGGTTGTCTATTTCTTTCTTTCCCTTCCTCCACTCCCTCCATCTATCTTCCTCCATCTCCCTTCCTCCCTCCTTCCTCCGACTCAAAATGTCCTCAGATGCAGAAGGTGGAATTGATGAAGAATGGTAGACAAGAACAACAAAAACAACAAGAAAGAAAAATAAACCCCCCAAAAAAGACAATGAGAAATAGCAAGAAGAAACCAAGAAACCCAAGAAACAACAGAAACAGGAAAATAAAACAAAAAACAAAAGACAAACACAAAAAAACAAAAAACAAACAACAACAACAACAACAAAAAATCGCAAGGTAGCAGCATTAAAATTCGCTCCTGAACCGATCGCCACGAGTCGCCCGCGCTCACTCCACCGACGGTCGGCCGGGGACAAAGAAGCTCCTTTACACTACACATACACATCCTCCTGATAGCCGAGCATGAAGGGGGGGATCAGCATGAAGGAGGGAGGGGGGGGGTGAGGATCGAAGTGTTCAAGGATAATGACTGTTTTACTGAGAAGGAGGAGGAGGAGGGAAGGAGTGAAGGAGGGAAGGAGAGGGAGGGAGGGAGGGAGAGAGGGAGAGGGAGATGAAAGGAAAAAGTGATGGGGGTAAGAGGGAAGGAGAGGAGGAGGTAGGAGGGAGGCAGAGGGAGAAGGATGGAGGAAAGGGAAACGAGAAAGAGAAAGAGAGAGAAAGAGAAATAATGAGGGAAAGTCAAGAGACAAAGAGAAAGGAAGAAAGTTCAAGAACAAGAGAAAGACGAAGCAATAAAACTACACCAGAAACGCACAAGCAAGTCGAAAGAAAAACTAACCCCCTCCCCCCCAAAAAGAGACAAAAACAATAGAGAAAGAGAATTTCAAAACCCCAACAGCTGACCCGCTAGGAGGAGGAGGAGGAGGAAGAGGAGGAGGAGGAGGAGGAGGCACAGCGTTACCATATTATCATTATACCCATTTTCTCACCCACACCCAGAGGGCAGGGAAGAGCTAGACGGGGGGAAGGGGGGTGCCGGAGAAGGGGTAGAGGGACGGAGGAGGAAGGGGAGGAAGGGGAAGAAGGGGGGGAAGGGGGAAGAAGGGGGGGAAGGGGGGGAGGGGGATGGTGACGCAGACCTCGACGCAGAAGGGGGGAACAGTTCCGTCTCCCCGTCCGCACTAAGTCACCGCATGATATGATAACGATGACGATGACAACGATGACGCTATCTACTCCCCCCTCCATCGTCACAAAAGACCATAATAAATAACGCGATGATAACGAAAGAAAAAAATAAACGCAACAGAGAGAAGGCAGGAGACAAAATAAATGATAGAAAATGGCGGGCAGAGGGCGGCTATACAAAAGCAGTAAAGAAACGGATAATGCGATCGGGTAATTGTTATGCTGATGGGGGACTGCTGCCAAGGTGTCCTACGGGAGGAGGGATAATACAAAGGATACGGGGAAGAGGGAGGAGGAAGAGGGGAAGAGGGGAGGAAGAGGTAGGAGGAAGAGGGAGGAAGAGGGGAGGAAGAGGGAGGAGGAAGAGAGAGGAGGAGGAGGAAGGGAAGGGGGAAGGGACGAAGAGAGGGAGGGGGAAGGGAGGAAGATGGGAGGAAGAAGGGGGGAAGGAGGAAGGGGAGACAGGGGGAAGGGATGGAGAGGAAGAGGGGGAAGGGAGGGAGAGAGGGAGAGGAAGAGACAGAGAGGGAAGGAGAGCGGGGTGTAGGAGGAGTAGGAGTAGGTGGAGGGTCAGTGCAGTCTCTGTCCATCCACCTTGAACTCCATCCCTCCCCTGCCCGTTCTCCTTACTGAGACGAGTTCAAGTTCCTCCTTAAAAACCCTGACCCTCCATGGAGAGGAGGAGGAAGGGGGGAGTAGGAGGAGGAGGAGAGGAGCTGGAGGGAGGGAGGCAGGGGGAGGAGGAGGAAGACAGGAACGGGAGGAACGGGAGGAAGAAGAAGAGAACAACACTGAGAACATGGAGGATTGGAACAAGACTATGAATGAGGAGAAAGAACAATAGAATAAGTAGGATAAATTGAAGGAGAAAAAAAGGGCAGAAGCATGGAAGAGGAGGCATCCGTAGCCAGTCCATCAAAAAGTGATAATTTCCTACCGCCGGAGGGCCTCAGCGGTGGATTATGTGCTGGTCTCGGGTCATTACCTCATGGGGACCCACAGAGACTCCAGCTGATTGGCCGGTCACCCTCATCATGTAACGAAGCACGCTATTGGTCCACACGTTGTCATGACGTTTGGAAGCCGCACTCCCATTGGTGGAGAAGTATTTCCCTCGGGCAACTCCTTTGTTGACGGGAGTCAGCTGATATCCAAGGCCACGTGGGCTTCGCAACAGCTGATACAGAGCGAGGGACGAGGCGACGGACCAATGCAGGTCCACAAAGTGAGACAAAGGAATAAAAGATGCTCGCGTTCGAGAACGAGTGACGAATGGATACAGAGCACCAAAAGAAGACAGATAATCTGCAAATAAACCGACAAAGAAACCAAGAACAAGGAAAATACCACGCGGACAGAAACGGGAGAAATAAAAACTCGGGGCTGAATTCCCGGACACGAAACTGGAGAAGCGTCCGGTGAAAGAAAAGGACTAAACCGGTCAATCTCGAATGATTTACAAAAAAATAGCACGATCTTATGATGATCAAGTATAAATGCTAGACTCCCGTGACAACAATAATAGAAATATATACCTTAAAACACACACTACCAATGCTACAAAAGGGGAAAAAACACACCTTGCTACAGAAGAGAAAAAAACTTAGAGCATGAAAGTAATACGAACAAAAATAAGATTAACCTACTATCATTATTACCATTACCTTTGTTAACGACCGGTAATACCATTACTATCATCATTATAGCTATTATCACCTTATCATTAACGATATTAGTATCACAAATACCTCTTATATTCTCGAAAACAGAAGCCCATCAACAAGAAAGAATTCGCACGGGTTTGCCTCGCAGAGCCCTCCAAGCAAGACTCTCGACTGCCACGATAAAAAACATTATTTCTGTCTGTGTATGGCTGCCGGTCGGGCTATGTCTATCTCTGTCTGTCTGTCCGCCTGTCCGTCCGCCCATCTGTCTATGTCCGCCGGTCTCTATTTATCTGTCTGTCTGTCAGTCAGAGCACAAAGGGACTGTTTCTTGGCATTCAATTTCCGGCCACTGGTTCCACTGAACAGCCATCTCCGCGATACTCTCAAAGGATGTCAGTCTCGGCGGGTTCGTCAGACGCAAGGCAAGGGCGACAAAAAGGGGAAGAAGGAGGGGGGAAGAGGGAAGAGGAGGATGGAGGAAGAGAGGGAATAGGGGGGGAGGGAGGAAGAGAGGGAATAGGGGGGAAGGGAGGAAGAGAGGGAAGAGGAGGATGGAGGAAGAGAGGGAAATGGGGGGGGAAGGGAGGAAGAGAGGGAAGAGGAGGATGGAGGAAGAGAAGGAAGAGGGGCATGGAGGAAGAGAGGGAAGAGGAGCATGGAGGAAGAGAAGAAAGAGGGGCATGGAGGAAGAGAAGAAAGAGGGGCATAGAGGAAGAGAGGGAAGAGGATGATGGAGGAAGAGAGGGAAGAGGAGGATGGAGGAAGAGAGGGAAGAGGAGGATGGAGGAAGAGAGGGAAGAGGAGGATGGAGGAAGAGAGGAAAGAGAGGCATGGAGGAAGAGAGGGAAGAGAAAGGAGGCGGGCGAGGGAAAGGGGGGGGGGTTAGAGGGAGGGGAAAAGGGAAAAGGAAGGGAGGAAGAGAGGGAAGGAGAAGGGGGGGGGGGGGCAGGAGGCTGTGGAGATAGAGATGGGGAAGATGGAGTAAGAGAAGGGGGAGGAGAAGAGGGGTGAGAAGGAAGAAAGGGAGGAAGAGAAGGAAGAGGCGGATAGATGGAGAAGGAGAAGGAAAAGGGAAGAGAAAGGGAGGGAAGGGGGGAGGGAGGAAGAGAAGGAAGAGGAGGATGGAGAAGAAGGGAGGATGATGAGGGGTAAAGAGAAGGGGAAAAAGGGGAGAACGATAAGAGTAAAGCAAGAGGAGAGGCGAGGAAGGGGAAAGGGAAGGGGAGGAGAAGAAGGAGAAAAGGAAAAATATAATAAAGAGAAGAGGACGAAGAAGTAAAAAAAAAAGGATAATTAGGAAGTTCGACCGTGCAGGTCCGCTTGCAGACAGGATATGACCGAGGCGGACACGCAGACACGTGGACAGGAACGCAGACAGGCAAGCAAGCAGTCACGGTGATGCGATAGTCAAGCAGACAATGAGGAGCGGGAAAACACGAACAAGTATAGTCAGCGGCGATGTAGGCAAGCAGACAAGCAGACGAGGAATGAAAGCAAGAAAGCAAGCAGTCACAGCGACGATGTGGGCAAGCAGTCGAGGAATGAAAGCAAATAAGCAAGCAGACACAGCGACGTCAGGCACGCACAAGCAGACGAAGAATGTAAGCAGGCAAGCAAGCAGTCACGGAGACGATGTAGGCAAGCACGCAAAGCAGGAATAGAAGCAAGGAAGCAAGAATTCACAGCGACGATGTAGGCAAGCACACAGGCAGGAATGCAAGTGAGCAATCAAGCAGTCACGGCGACGAGGTAGGCAAGCACGCAAGCAGGCGACCACGTGCCTTCAGGCGGACAGGAGCCTCCGTGTCGCTGACGAGACAACGATAACACTCACACTTCAGGAGGGGAAGGGGGAGGATGGGGGAGGGAGGGGGAGGGGGAGGGGGGAAAGGAGGAGGAGGAGGAGGAGGAGGAGGAGGAGGAGGAGGAGGAGGAGGGGAAGGGGGAGGAAGGGGGAGGGAGGGGGAGGGAGGGGAAAGGAGGAGGAGGGAGGGGAAAGGAGGAGGAAGGGGGGTAAGGGGAAAGGAGGATGAGGATGGGGAGGGGGAAAGGAGGATGAGGATGGGGAGGGGGAAAGGAGGAGGAGAGGGGGAGGGGGAAAGGAGAAGGAGGAGGGGGAGGGGGAAAGGAGGAGGAGGATGGGGAGGGGGAAAGGAGGAGGAGGAGGGGGAGGGGGAAAGGAGGAGGAGGAGGGGTAGGGGGGAAGGAGGAGGCGGTGGGAGAGGGGGAAGGAACGAGGAGGAAGAGGAACGAGGGGGGAGAGGGAAAGAGGGGAAGGAAGGAGAGTGGGGGAATGAACGAGGGGGAAGGAAAGAGGAGGAGGGAGAAGGGGGAAGGAAGGAGGAGGAGGAGGAGTGGTAAGAAGTGAAAAGGAAGAAAGGAGGGGGTAAAGGGGGAGGAGAACAGGAGGAGGAAGTGGTAAAGATGGAGGCGCTGGTGGAGGAGTAGGAAGGGGAGATGGTGGAGGAAGGTGGAAGAAGTAAGGTAGGAGATTAGGGGAAGTGGTGGTGGAGGAAACGGGGGGGGGGGGAGGAGGAGGAGGAGGAGGAGGAGGGGGAGGAGGAAGAGGAGGAGGAGTCAGAAAGAGGAGGAGGAGGAGGAGGAGGAGTAGTTAGAAAGAGGGAGAAGAAGAGGAGAAGGAGGAGGAAGGGGAGTGAGAAAGAGGAGAAGGAGGAGGAGGAGGAGGAGGAAGAAGAGGGAGAGGAAGATGAGGAGGAGGAGGATATAGGATGTAGAAGGTGGAAAAACATTACGATGAAAGGAAGGGGAATTAGAATAAGAAAAGGGAAAAAGTGGTGATGGCGATATGGTGGGCGATGAAGCGAAGATAATAAAGGAAATAAAAGAAGAAAAAAAGAATTTAAGAGAAAATCTAACACGCATCATCGAAAGAGAAAAAAAAAATGAGATTATAAAATCAAATCACGTAAAAACAAGAACACAAAACCACCCCGCCTCAACCCCCCCTCCCTTCCACAACTCTCCCCTTCCCCCCTCCCCCCTAACCTCCCCCCCCCCCCCATCACCCTTGGAAATCCCCCGACTCAACCCTAATTCTCGGAAGTTTGGCAACCGCGCAGCAGGTAATATAGTAAAGTAATGAATCACTTCTTGAACGCAACTTGACTCTCTTCAAGGCGATGCTCCTCCTCCTCCTCCTACCCCCCCCCTTCTTCCTCCTCCTTTCCTCCCTTACCCTCACTTCCTCTGTTCCTCCCCCCCCCCTACCCCCTTCCTTTCCTCCGTTCCTACCTCCTCCTCTCCCTTCTTTCTCCTTTCTTTCCTTATTTCCTTCCTTCCTTCCTTCCTCCTTCATTTTCAATTTTTTACCTCTCCCTCCCCCTCCTCTTATCCTCCTCTATCTATTCCCCAATAATAACTACAACAATATATATTACTATCCTCATCATCATTGCTATATAATAATGATAATAATAACTAACACTAACACCACCACCACTACCAACAACAACAACAACAATAATAATAACAACAACAATAATAAAAAAAAACACTGAATAAACACCATCACTGTCACACCAGAGTCGAGACCAACCCTTGCAGGAGGACCCATCTCGGCTCGCCTCCTTGGCAACTTCCCGGAACACGTGGCAGGCACTGATACACAAACAGACAAACAAACAAACAAGCACACGGACACACGCGCGGGGGAAGACGAGCATATGCAGAGAGGGGACAAATAGGCATAAATACACTGGGACAGACAAGTACACGTACACTGAGACCATGACAAATAGACGAACAGACAGTGACAAGCAGACATACACAGACAGGACCAGACAGGCATACACACACAGGGACACAGACAGGCATACACAGACAGAGACAAAAAGTCATATAGAGACGGGGACAAACAGACATACACAGACAGGGACAAACCGGTATGCACAGACATACAAAGATAGGGACGGACAAGCATATACAGACAGGCAGGCATAAACACAGAGGAGCAGACAGGCATACAACAGACAGGGGACAAACAGCCATACACGTACAGGAATACATAGAAAGGGACAGACAGACAGACAAACAAACCTACAAACACAAACTTCTTGAGGAGGAAATGCCAAAGAAGAAGAAGAAAAAAAATCACGAGGAATAAGAAATTCTAGTGGGCCTCCCTTGTAACCCTTTGGAGGAGAGGAAATGGAGAAACAGGGAGAATGTGGAAGATGGATTAGTGGAAGAAAGAGGGGAGGTGTTAAGGAAAAGGGAGAGGGAAATGGGAGACGAAAAGGGAAAAGGGAGAGGGAAATGGGAGACGAAAAGGGAAAAGGGAGAGGGAAATGGGAGACGAAAAGGGAAAAGGGAGAGGGAAATGGGAGACGAAAAGGGAAAAGGGAGAGGGAAATGGGAGACGAAAAGGGAAAAGGGAGAGGGAAATGGGAGACGAAAAGGGAAAAGGGAGAGGGAAATGGGAGACGAAAAGGGAAAAGGGAGAGGGAAATGGGAGACGAAAAGGGAAAAGGGAGAGGGAAATGGGAGACGAAAAGGGAAAAGGGAGAGGGAAATGGGAGACGAAAAGGGAAAAGGGAGAGGGAAATGGGAGACGAAAAGGGAAAAGGGAGAGGGAAATGGGAGACGAAAAGGGAAAAGGGAGAGGGAAATGGGAGACGAAAAAGGGAAAAGGGAGAGGGAAATGGGAGACGAAAAAGGAAAAGGGAGAGGGAAATGGGAGACGAAAAGGGAAAAGGGAGAGGGAAATGGGAGACGAAAAGGGAAAAGGGAGAGGGAAATGGGAGACGAAAAGGGAAAAGGGAGAGGGAAATGGGAGACGAAAAGGGAAAAGGGAGAGGGACTAGAAAAGGGAAAAGGGAGAGGGAAATGGGAGACGAAAAGGGAAAAGGGAGAGGGAAATGGGAGACGAAAAGGGAAAAGGGAGAGGGAACTAGGAGACGAAAAAGGGAAAAGGGAGAGGGAAATGGGAGACGAAAAGGGAAAAGGGAGAGGGAAACTAGGGAGGACGAAAAGGGAAAAGGGAGAGGGAAATGGGAGACGAAAAGGGAAAAGGGAGAGGGAAATGGGAGACGAAAAGGGAAAAGGGAGAGGGAAATGGGAGACGAAAAGGGAAAAGGGAGAGGGAAATGGGAGACGAAAAGGGAAAAGGGAGAGGGAAATGGGAGACGAAAAGGGAAAAGGGAGAGGGAAATGGGAGACGAAAAGGGAAAAGGGAGAGGGAAATGGGAGACGAAAAGGGAAAAGGGAGAGGGAAATGGGAGACGAAAAGGGAAAAGGGAGAGGGAAATGGGAGACGAAAAGGGAAAAGGGAGAGGGAAATGGGAGACGAAAAGGGAAAAGGGAGAGGGAAATGGGAGACGAAAAGGGAAAAGGGAGAGGAAAAGGGAAAAGGGAGAGGGAAATGGGAGACGAAAGGGAAAAGGGAGAGGGAAATGGGAGACGAAAAGGGAAAAGGGAGAGGGAAATGGGAGACGAAAAGGGAAAAGGGAGAGGGAAATGGGAGACGAAAAGGGAAAAGGGAGAGGGAAATGGGAGACGAAAAGGGAAAAGGGAGAGGGAAATGGAGACGAAAAGGGAAAAGGGAGAGGGAAATGGGAGACGAAAAGGGAAAAGGGAGAGGGAAATGGGAGACGAAAAGGGAAAAGGGAGAGGGAAATGGGAGACGAAAAGGGAAAAGGGAGAGGGAAATGGGAGACGAAAAAAGGAAAAGGGAGAGGGAAATGGGAGACGAAAGGGAAAAGGGAGAGGGAAATGGGTGAGACGAAAAGGGAAAAGGGAGAGGGAAATGGGAGACGAAAAGGGAAAAGGGAGAGGGAAATGGGAGACGAAAAGGGAAAAGGGAGAGGGAAATGGGAGACGAAAAGGGAAAAGGGAGAGGGAACTAGGAGAAAAAGGGAAAAGGAGAAGGGAAATGGGAGACGAAAAGGAAAAGGGAGAGGGAAATGGGAGACGAAAAGGGAAAAGGGAGAGGGAACTAGGAGGAGAAAAGGGAAAAGGGAGAGGGAACTGGGAGACGAAAAGGGAAAAGGGAGAGGGAAAATGGGAGACGACAAGGGAAAAGGGAGAGGGAAATGGGAGACGAAAAGGGAAAAGGAGAGGGAAATGGGAGACGAAAAGGGAAAAGGGAGAGGGAAATGGGAGACGAAAAGGGAAAAGGGAGAGGAGAAATGGGAGACGAAAAGGGAAAGGGAGAGGGGAAATGGGAGACGAAAAGGAAAAGGGAGAGGGAAATGGGAGACGAAAAGGGAAAAGGGAGAGGGAAATGGGAGACGGAAAAAGGGAAAAAAGGTGAGTGGGAAATGGGAGACGAAAATTGGTAAAGGGAGAGGGAAATGGGAGACGAAAAGGGAAAAGGGAGAGGGAAATGGGAGGACTGAAAAGGGAAAAGGTGAGGAGAGGGAAAATGGAGACGTAAAGGTGAAAGAAAGGGAGAGGGAACTAGGAGGAGAAAGGGAAAAGGAGAGGGAACTGGGAGGGCCGAAAAGGAGTGGGGGGAGGAAAATGGGGGAGGGAGAGGAATGGGGGGTGGGAGAGGGAATGGGGGAGGGAAACGGAGGGAAATGGTAAAGGTAGATGGAGAGGGAAGATACAGGAGGGAGAAGGGAGAATGAGAACGAATGAGAATACAAG